AAATATCGAAGGATCCATAGTAAATGAAAAGGCACCACAAAAAAAGAAAAGCAAATTGAGCAAATTCATGAGGAAGGTGAGCCTAGCTATCCAATGGTAAGAAAAGAAGTTGATGAAAGCAAAATTATTGGTGATCCAAATCAAGGGGTAAGAACTATAGCCAAGGTTCAAAATGTTTGTGAGTATGTTGCCTTTATTTCACAAATTGAACCTAAGAACATTGATGAAGCCTTAGATGATGACTATTGGATACTAGCTATGCAAAAAGAATTAAATCAATTTGAAAGGTGTCAAGTGTGGGAATTAGTTCCTATGCCAAATGTTTATCCAATTGTAGGAACTAAAATGGGTCTTTAAAAACAAAATGGATGAAAATGGACAAATAAATAGAAACCGAGCTAGGTTAGTGGCAAAAGGATATAGTTAAGAGGAAAGAATAAATTATGGTGAGACTTATGCCTTGGTAGCTAGATTAGAATGTTAGTGTAAGCCCTACAAGCCAATCGGTTTCATGCTTGTAAAACACTATATTAATTAGACATACTTCATGTTAAATATATTATAGATATTTTATATAATCTATTAGGTATTTCTTTATCCATGAGTTTATTTATAAAGAGTTATAAGAGACTTATGTAAATAAAGTCCTTGGAACATAATAACCTTGCAAAGAAATTATAAAGATTATAATTATGAGATTCTTATGCATCAAAGTCTTCTTTTTAAATATGTTCTTAGTCATTGTATTGTCAAGAAAAAGGATATTGACAATGCTCAAAGGCTAGTACATGCTAAGCCTCCTTACTTTAGAAGTAAGCAACTGATCTCATACGTTGAACTATGCGAGATACTTGGGGATAGTATATGGGTGCTTGTTAAAAAATAAGTTCACTGAACATGACCCACTCTGAGAGTTTCATTTGGTATTTCATTGAAGTGTTTATGGAAATACTCTCTTGTGTTAGTAGTGTAAGTAATCTTTAAACCTGTGATACCAAGTCATCTTGTATGTGAATTTTCTTACTTTGACTTCACCTCTACGGGTTTAAAGGTGACCAGATGCCTAAATAAGGTGCTTTTGGGTGTGGCATGAAGCATGCGAAGATGAATAAGTAGTTTAGAGAGGATTCATGACCTTAAGTGATTTGAAGGGGACATATCTCATTTACTCTTGACTTATATTGACTAAAAGTCCTTGGCCAAGGCAATCTTGATAAGTCAATTTCAAAGCTACAAGACTAATATGGGTAAGTTAGAAAGTAGACACTGAGCCAAGCTTTCCATCTATTAGGGACATATAATATTCCACTACATATGATCACTTTAGCATGATTCGAATCCCTTTCATAGAAGCCATTAGAATGCTTTTAGCCTTTGCATGTTTTATGAACTTCAAGTTATATCAAATGGATGATAAAAATGCTTTCCTTAATGGACTTATAAATGAAGAAGTATATATTGAACAACCACCTAGATTTGAAAGCGCTTCTTTTCCAAATTATGTATTAAGATTAAGAAAAGCTTTGTATGGTTTAAAACAAGCTCCTAGAGCTTGGTATGAAACTTTGTCAAAATTCTTAATCAAAAACAATTTTAATAGAAGGAAGGTTGATAAAACTCTTTTCATCAAAAGTGAAGGAAAAGACATTTTAATTGTTCAAGTTTATGTTGATGATATTATTTTTGGAGGTACAAATGAAATTCTTTGTCAAGAGTTTGCTAAGACTATGCAAGGTGAATTAAGATGAGCATGATGAGCGAGCTAAATTACTTTCTTGGATTGCAAATCAAACAAAAGAATGGTGGTACATTCATAAGTCAAGCCAAGTATACAAACAACATGCTCAAGAAATTTGGTATGGAAAACACAAAAACATATCACACACCAATGAGCACTTCAACAATGCTTGACAAGGATGAAAAAGGTATACCTGTTAACCAAAAGTTCTATCGGTCTATGATTGGTTCTTTGCTCTATCCCACTGCTAGTGGATCGAACATAAGTTTTAGTGTAGGTTTGTGTGATAGATTTCAAGTATCTCCCAAAAAGTCTCACTTAAGTGCAGTTAAAAGAATTTTTAGGTACTTTAAAGACACAGTCAGTTTAGGTATTTGGTATCCCAGGACTTCCACTTTTGATCTCCGCTCATATTCAAACGTCGATTTTGGTGGGTGTAAAATAGATAAGAAAAGTAATGTGCCAAATTTTTAGGTAGTATGCTAATCTCTTGGTTCTAAAAGAAACAAAATAGTGTAGCTTATTCTACTACCAAAGTTAAGTATGTAGCTATCGGGAGTTGTTATGCTCAAGTACTATGGACGAAACAACAATTAGAGGATTATGGACTAGGTATGAAAAAAACTCCAACTAAATGTGATAACATTAGTGCCAAAATCTCACAAAGAACCCCATTTATCACTCAAGCACTAAACACATAGAAATAAGGCATTACTTCATTAGAGACCATGTTCAAAAAGAAGAAATTATTCCTAAGTATGTTAGTGCCAAGGATCAATTAGCTGATATCTTTATCAAGCCTCTTGATAGAGAACCATTTGCAATATATGAAGTGAATTAGGTATCATGAACACACCTTAGCTAAATTAGATAATGAATATTGGATGTTCTTAATGAATCTTGAAGTGAAACATTTGAACTAATAGAGTATACTTGTCTATTCAAAAATTTCTTAACTTTGTGATGATGAAGATAAACTTCTTGCCTCATGTTTGATTTTTATTATGAGATGTATGTTCTTGCATTCCACTTAACCATGCATACACATACACAACCATCTAACTCTAGTAGCATTTCACTAAAATGTTGAAGAAATCATTTTCTTTGAAAACTCCAACTCTTTGATCCTACAAGTGCCACTTGCAGTGGTCCAAACTACTATTTGTTATGTTTTTCTTCAAATTTTTGAACTAATTTTTTATCAAATATTCAATTCGAGACTCTTTTGCATGTTTTTGAAAGCAAAAACTCTAATTTTTTAAGGCTTCAGATGAACATCTATTTATAAATTGTCAATATCTATCGATATATAGCTTAACAGGGCCAATATATACCATACCGTGCCCAATCTATTGATTGTTGCATGTACCAATCAATAGATGCAATATAAAAAAATAAAACTGAGCATCATACACCATCTATCGATAGATGAAGTCTTGTGGTCTTCCTAAGACTGTTTGACCACATCTATCAATAGATTGCATAATCTGTCGATAGATGAGGACCCAGGACAAACATGAAACGCTTCTAAAAAACTCTATTGATAGATATCGTAATCTATCGATAGCTATGGTTCTTTAAACATTTCTGACGTTTCAATTTTTTTCCAAATCGCAACCTTACCTTCCATCTCCCTTCCACAGTCTCTCAACTCATCGTCTATTTTTGCTTTTTTTTTCATCCAATCTAAGCATTTGCTCCATCTTTTTCAGCCCAGCATACATCCAATTTCCTCAAATCCGATTAAACTCCTGCCTACATCTCCATTCACTATCCCCAAACCCTTGGTTCTCTTTCTCTTTGCTTATTCGACCTTTCATCACGATTTGCAACCAAGCCCTCCGATTACTTCTTTTTACTCTCAACCCTTACCCTCTCCACCAAATCTTTAGTCCAAATTTCACCATCTTTTTCAAATTACATCATGAGTCTGAGAATCTAACGCATCAATGTCACTGCTAGTCAGGCTTTCAGTGGCCCTGTTGAAGCTGAGTCCTCCTTCGCCCCAAACGAGAGATCTTTCTTTTGAAACTTCACCCATCCGTCGCATGCTTAGAAATTTAGCGACAACTTCGTCAAACAAAAGGTAATGCCTAAGCATATTATTGATTTTGATTACCTAGCATCAATTAATTTTTCGTATCTTTGCAATCTCGAATATCAAAGCTAGATTCATTACTTGAAATTAAATCAAAAATATTATGAGAACTTGGTCAGGGTTTTTTACTTCAAAGCCAATAAAAAGTTTCCTGATTCAAAGTTTGGTGAATTAGTCTCCCATGATGATAGGTTTGTCACTCACGTCATGGGTAATCGTATATCGGTCACTCGTGCTCTCATCGATATGATCCTTCGCACTCAATCTCGCCAAGATGATCTTCGGTACATTTTTTATTATGGCAACCTTCGTGATGTCTTTCCCTATTCCCCCCCCAAATGACAAAGGCAGTTCCAGCTGCACTTGTTGTGCTTTTATAATTATGTACTGCACCTAATCATCACCCACACCATCCGTCATCACGGCTCCAATTACTTGTGGATGGCTTTTCACTTGAAATGGTTTAAATACTTCAAGCTAAGTTTCCAATGAGTTTTGATACCTTTGAATTACTTCTAAACAACTTGCAAATGCATGGCTTTACATGTCCTATGCAATCGTTTTGATTTACTTCAAATGAACATGTTCCAAAATAAAGACATTGTGTTATTAAATACTTGTGTGTTAACTTGTTCCATTCTTTATCCACTCACTGAGCAAATTTATATTTTGGTTTACATATCTCCATTTGTTATCTTGCTAAATTTTGATTAAATGCACCAAATAGACATTGCTAAGTTCTCCGTGTTCACTCCACTATCCATGTCTATTTATATTTTGTATTTGCAAAGTATAGAAACACACTATGACTTAACCAAGGATTGGCATATGACATGTATTTGTATTTTGGTTAAACACATTGTGGGTGATTATGTGTGTGTGTGTATGAATTTATGTATTATGAATGACATATGCTCACTATTTGATTTGAGAATGTTTATGTTTATTAAATGTATAAAGCTTGCTTGGGTCTAGTAAGCCTTGTCTACTTAAGCCTTTGCATTGATCATGACCTGAAATTGGGTTGGGTTGTGACAAGTTGGATGCATGCTTAACAAAAAGAAACATTCAAATATTCATAATTAAATGCTTTGTGGCTTGTGAGTAAAAGAGAAAGGCGGTCATGATTGCAAATCAAAACCATAATAATGCCTAAGCCAACAATTTTTCATAAGCTAAGATGACAGGACGTACTAGTTTCTATAATTAGCATTATTCTTGTTAGTCCATATAACAACCAAAAAGATTCATTGTACAACAAATTGTAAAATTCAATTGCAACAGGTACAATATTTCCCAAGAACATGACCCTATCATAATATTTTTCCTCTACTTTAGAATTTAACGGAGGAAGTCACCTTAGGTTGGCAAAAGAGAGCATTTTCGACTTCAACTTCAGAGCATCTACAACTATAGCTTTAGGGAATTATGCAAAGTGCCACGATCAATGGATTCAATGTGCCAATTACATTGTTCGATTTCTGCATCTGCTGTTGATATCCGTAAGACCCTACCATGATAAGCATATAGCGTACGACGATGGCCAACACTGATATATGTGATGCCTGCTGTGTTGATCTTCTCATACAAATGGGCCTGTGAAAATGAAACAGCACAATGTAAAGAAACTATAAAGAATAATTTCAACATTATGTTTTCACGAAGGAATCATCTTTACCTTAAAGTAGGATAAACTATAAAGAAGCTATTATAGGCGATGGTAAAAACATTAGATAAAATACACAAAAAAGTAAGAAACTCCTCTGAGGAAATTGTGGGTATTAGAAGCTTGGTTTATTATAATTACTCCTACATGTCCTAAAATTATTACTTGTACAACAAGGGATTAACCCAAGGTTAGTGGCATGATCCTTCTGTTAGTCTCAAATATGTGGTAGAGAGTCTTCTTTGGTGTGATTTCAATATTTGCTAGTTGAGAGATTCTTCCCCTTAACCCTTTTTTGGAATGCTCAAGTACCTCCATTGCTCATTCTTGACACACCAGTCATCCTACACCTTTGATGACTGTAAAAGAAAATAGTCAAGTTTACTCCATCAAGAACCACAGCCATCTTTATTATAGGATGAGTTGTCATCACCTAATTAGCCAGTCATTGCAACTTCTACTCTATCAATGGGTATTGCCTACCAAATCTAAGGGCATATCTAGCACGACTAAGAGCATTTTCTCACTACTCCCTCTCTTCAAACCTTTCAATATAATCTATTAGTCTATTGCACCTCCTTAGAGGTGGCAAAATCTAATTGAACCTAAAAACCTGCTTGAACAAGCTGAAACAGAACGTGGTCGAATCAGAACCAATTAAAAGCGTCAAAGATTCAAATCCAAAAAAATCCAAACTTGACCCAAATTCAACGAGATTCGAACCCATACAGCTAGAACTCAACATGACCCTAACTCCAGTGACTCGAACCCGGAGTGAATTGAACCCACAATGAGTTGATACTGATCAAATTTGGAACCCGTAAAACCTGAATTTATAATCTAAAAATACTTAAACTGTAATTAAATAATTTTGAAAAGTAATATTAGTTAGAGTAAAATTTTTATAAAACAATATTACTTATAACTATTATACAACTATATAAATATTGTACTTTCAATCTTGTCAGTATTGAATATTTGAAGTAGATTAAGAAACTAATTTAAGATGCTAAATATGAACATCAAATGATATTAGGGGTTACCTTTATTATAACAAATAATTATAGGAAATAATAATGTGACTTTAACATTTGAATATTTAATTTCACATTTAGATAATCACATGGAAAGTTGAAATTGAAAAACATTTCAGAGGGCTTTGTTATTGTTATTTTTTTTCTCAGCTTCCAGAGTTCCAATTCTTATAGAGGAAGGAAAAGCACAAAGTGGTCACAAATTGAATTATTTAATTCAATTTCAAATTTGATTGATTTATTATTATTTATTGCTAAAATAAAATTCAGTTAAGAATAAAATTCAGTTAAGAATAAAATTCATTATTACCTATAAACTAAAATATATTTAAAGGTAAGCTAATAAGTAAGAATATCAATACATTTAGTTTTAGTTAAAAGTTATTAGACTATTTAGTTATTTTTAAAAATGAAATTTAAATATTTTATACTAACATATAAAATAAATTTAATACTCAAGTGTAAAAATTGAAACCTACCCAAAAATCTTCATTCTTCAATATTAATGTCCAAACAATAAAAAGTTAAAATTAGATTATCAAAATATAGTTTAAAACAATTAAAGGTTTGTAAATAAAACAATATTTATGAGACGGAGCGAGTCCTTGATAAGGTTACTAGTTAAACAAATGAACCAATTAATCGATTAATTAAACATTTACACTTATTGAATTAATTCAAACCAAGACAACAGGCATCTTAATTCTGAATTCTTCGTTAGTGCCAATATGATCAAATGTTAAAATAAATTAACACTATATCAATAAATGTTAAATATCTTGATTATTTGATTTTCTATTGTTGCAAACTCTAATTAATGTTATGCAAATTAGTGGATCAATTAAATTTATTATGTTATTTGTCAAGCCAAGACAACTTTATTCTCCATTCGTGTCAAAATACCAAAATGGTCAAATGTTAAAAATAGAACAGTATTATATCAATTATTTTTAGATATCATGATTTTGGATTTCTTCTAATTTCTAAAGATTAATGTTAGATTGATCTATCGAATGATATATTCTTACAAAGTTAGCATTCTTTATGAACGTAATTGGTATTCTTCTATTCATTTTTATAATGCCCACAATTCAATTTAATTGGACATTTGTCTATATGACTATATCTAATGTTAATGGTTATAATTTATGTCCAAACTAATAAAAAAAGATAAAAGAAGAAATTCATGAAAACTTGACATACTATTAAAAATAATGACTAATAAGATAAAAACAAATAATACACAAAAATACTAAATAGTGAGGATATATAGTACAGTTGAAACAATAATGACATTTATATTTATACAAATATTTATCAATTTCTTAAATTTCAAAATTTTTCTGTCATATTTTTGTCTTAAATTAGGTAAATTAATCAATGATTTTGACTTAATATCTGTTTGAAATAAACGTAATTATTTATTGCATTTGAATATACAAAAATGTCTAGAGCTTGTATGAATCTCAAAAAAACACAAAACTTGCCCAAATTTGCTCAAACCTAGATGGTCTGAACCCCGAGATGATCTGAATTCAAAAAAATCCAAACACAAGATCATTTGAACTCAAAATGAACTAAATCTGAAATGATCCGACTTGAAAGTATCGGAACACAAAATGGTCCACATCTAAAGTAAACCTGAACCTGAAGACAGCTTGACGAAAACCTACCCAATTGCAATCTTTACACTTCTCCAACATCGTGCTCCTGTGTACTACTTCCCCATACTATTACTACTCTTTTTTTATTTTGGAATAATACTCCTAGTTTTTTTTATACTGCCTCCTTGGAACCACCGCTTTTGGATTCTCACCATTTTTCTTGAAAACACTCCCATGTAATTTTCACTATCCCTTATATTTCCTCACCTTCCATTGTACTGAAGGACTAAGGTCTGCTCAATCATCATTTATCCCCTGTTTATTTTCCTAGTTACATTTTCCTACTTGAATGCGGTGTTACTTCGTCCCTCTAAGAACACTCTAAAAGGTCAAATCCAACGACAGAATAGTAGCAACATGGAACATGGCTTCCCCAATTTTTTTTTTTTATGTGTTTTTCTAAAACTGCCAACAAAACTGTGTAGCAGGTAGAATTCCTTTATTGCTCTGTTCTCCTAATTTGTTGGGTCCAAAGGAATCATTTATCTATTACTAAACCATGTTGACATAAAATTCACATACATGACCAGGCTAGAAGTTCATAGGTCCTACACAAATGGGTATGAACGTAATTTATTTGGACAATATCACCTTTGATGTGAGACAATGTTCAATCTTTAACAAAGCTCAATCACAAGAATAAGGGGATACAAGAAAAGAAAGGAAAACTCTAGAATACATAAAAACCACATTGCTAAAATAAGATTAAAGAAAAAATAACATAACATTTTAGAATCCAGACATACCTCGTTGATCTCATCCAAAGCACTGGTGGATTCATCCAACAGGACCAACTTTGGTTTAGAAAGCAACAAACGTGCAAAAGCAAGGCGCTGCTGCTCGCCAAGGGAAAGAACACTGGACCACTCGTATACTGAATCAAGACCTTTGAAACGAGACAAAATATAGCCAAGGCGGACATCTTCTAAAACCTGCGTTAGATCATCGGTTGTAGGAATAGGCATACTACGGTTTGCACCCACATTTTCAGAGTTTGGTGCTCTTGTCAGGAAAGGAAGTGAACCTATAATTGAAGGTCAATAAGAACTCTGATAGTAGAAACTAATGAACAGTTTTTGTATTCTTTGCTCCTATTCTCTTTAACAGGATAATAATACCATATTGAGATGAGAATGGATGCAAATAAACTTACATGCAAACAATAATAGTAAAAGGAAAAAGAAGTGAACAGCATGGCCAATCCAAAGAATCCCTCTAAGTTCATTGAAACCACGCTTGAAACTCAACATATTCCCACTCTAACTTATTTCCAAATGCTCTCTTTCACTATGCTCTTTCCACCTGATTCTCCATCTTGCTCTCACGCCACACTTTCTCTACACTTTTCCTAAATTTTATCCATCACCACCTGACAAAGCACTCAGTGCCTCAAGGACTGCTCCAATCTTCCTCTCTGCCACCCCCAACACATCTCGTTTTACTTCTTACGTCACAACCCTATCTCTATTAGAGAAGAATCCCATTACAGCACCAAAAATGGGCCACTTGATAATATTGAGAGACATTGGAAAGAGAAGATTTGTTCTCTTTTGCAGCATAAAATCCCACATCCCTGGTACACGTAATGGAGGGGTGCAGTGCTCTATGTATATATGCTGCTCGAACATTTGCATAACTCACAAAGGTTAAAGGGGTTCCCAAGATGCAAGAGCCTTCCAAAGTTAGTGGCCGCAACATTAAACAATAGAGATTGTAAATATTACTTTTGAGGAAAATGAATGCTAATTATACAATCAGAAAAGTTAGTTTGCCCCTTCCTAAAGCTTGCAAATGCCTTTTAAATTGGTTATTCTATGTGGATTTGTTATTTAGGAGGGACATACCTGCAGGTTTGGTGTCATCTGATGTAAGTATTGCCTGTTCAGCCCATGTTGGATAAAGCAATTGCTGACGAAGTGTACCCAAAACCATATATGGCCTTTGAGGAAGGAAAAACACACTTCTAGAATTACTATTTATGGGCCTCCCAAATTCCTTATTTATATTTGCAGAATTTACTTCAAGAGAAGCCACATCTGAAGAAGTGGCTGGTTGAGCATCACCTCCATCCTCAACATAGAATGTGATTTTCCCTTTTCCAGTACTCCAAAGACCAGCAAGTGCTCTTAGCAAAGAAGTTTTGCCACTACCACTAGGTCCCATTACCTGTTAGGGCATTCAACAAATAATATATTTATCCTGACTTATCAACTCATTATACAAGCTGAAAGAATTCAATATACAAATTATGATACTAACCAACAAATGATCTTTTTCATTGATCATCAATGATAAGTCTTTGACAAGTGTGGAGTTATTTTTTGGTGTCTTTAGAGTCAAATTTTCTACATCCAGCAATCTAAGAGACGTGTTTGCAGGTACAGATCCATTAGAATCCAAAACCTGTGACTCTTTGACATAAGAATATGTCAGATTAATCTGCTCCATGGGATCAGATGGAGAGTTGGATCTGCTGCTATCCAGAACGTCATCAAATTCACCTGAAAATGTTGTTGGTGTCAAAATTGTTAACATCGGGTTCATAATGTACCTTGGTTAAAGACATAAACAGACAATGTAAAACATAATGGACAAACAATGAAAACGGTACAAGCAATCAAAAAGAATCTCCGCAGATGAAGGATGAAGCAGCAAATAAAAAATAATTATCTGCAAGGAACAAGATTGAATGATCTGGATGAGATGGAATGTGTGAAAAATGGCTAGTATGGTCTGGAAAAATAGAAGCACAGACCATAGGTTATTTCATCAACCATTGGATATAGTATCCAAGATGACCTAAAGAGAAAGGATAACCAAAATAAAAACAGAACAGAGACTTTTTGTGTGAAAAAGAAAGAAGATGCCCTTCCTTTTGATCTCTACACAAACCACGATACTTTCAAGACAAAATTTTGCAATTCAGAGTTGAATGATACTCCCAAGGAATATTTTTATTTCACTTATAAATGTTGAAAAAGCTGACTTGCTAAATGATAAATATATAAGTTTTCAACATATGAAGAAAATTTTTACTTATGTTACTAAAAATACAAAAACTTTACTCTTCCTCCATCACAATAAAGGGCCAAACCAACCAATTTTTCTACAATTTTGTTCTCCACAAGAAACACTGTACAGCCTGATTAAATAAGAAAATATATATAAGAGTAAAGGGGTTAAATACACTGTACCCAGTCTATCAATGACAGCTGAAAAGGCACTAATTGCTTGAAACTGGTATACGATGAGGGAGAAATCCCCAAGGATATGATTAAAAGCTGATACAGACTGATTAATGACACCAAACTCAATTTTTCCAGAGAAATACATAGGAGCAACAACAGCAGCAGGGAGAATCTGAATGAGGTACCGGTAGCCACTGGTAAAAAACTCGAGATTTCTGGAAGATATCAACAATTGCTGCAAAAAGAAAGGACCAAAAGGGTTAATGTCATATGATGAATACATAATATTGCAATCAAAAGCTAAGGATCAAGACACAGCCATTTTGTCGAATATTTTAAATTAGGGAAAAGGTTAAAGGTTCAGATAAATGAAGCATAAACATTGTGGCTCGCCAACAATCAGGTTGTGACGCAATGCCAAAAGGCAGAAATTCATTTTTTGAGTGAATCCAAAGAAGAAAACAGCAGAATAGTTATGAGTACGAATGCCTCAGAATGGAACATGAGGAAGCAATTAGTTAGGAAATGAAAAGGACAGAAGGTTGAGAATGCGCATACGGTTAAATTTTCGAAAGCACTTGTGAAGCGCTGCAACAGAAGTTGGAGTTCATTATCTTCACCACCATAGAAAGCAATGGATTCAGCATTTTCTCGCACACGAACAAGTCCATATCGAAAGTCAGCTTCCTTCTTCTCTTGAAGGAAATTAAGATTGACCAATCCCTGAAACCACAAACGAGGGAGCAGAGTCATGGCAGAGGTAGACCGAGGGCGAACCATAGGGGATCCAGACAAATACCTTGCCAAGGAAGACGCTAATAGCTGTTCCGCCAATGGAATAGAGGAGAAGAACGACAAACAACGGAGGGTAGATGGCGTACAAGATATTGCTGAAGGAAATCAAGTCGACGGCAGCATTGAAAAGAGTCAAAGAGAAGGCAAGGGCAGTGGAAGTGAAGGAGCTGAGGTCGTCCACTATGCGCTGGTCGGGATTATCAATAATGGATTGAGACTGGATTTTGTAAAAGGTCCGATCGGAGAGGTAGCGTTGCATGTAATAGCTTGTCATCCAGGACCTCCATCTTAGAGAAAGAATTTCTCTCGCATAATCTCTCAAAACGAAAAACTGAAAGTTAACAAGAACTATGTTAGAGCCTGCATACGTGCTCGTAACAAACAACAACAACAACAACAAGCGGCGAAAGAAAGATGCAGCTGCTAGCAGAGCAGTACCTAAGTGCTCACCGGAATTCCACCAGCGAAGCCACAGAGGTAGTACACAAGTTGCTTGGTGAATTGTTCCTCGTCCTTGTCTTTACGTGTGACAATCAATTTGTCGCCGGCGTCGGAGATACGATAACAAATTACAAAAGCAAACAGATATCAATCACTCATTTGTTTATAATTAATAATAATAATAATAATAATAAAGATTGAAATGAAAAACAGACTTGCAAGCGCATTGTAGAAGTCCCGGCCAAGGAAATTGAAGCCGACGCTGATGCCGGTGGTGGCGAGTGTGAGAGCGAAGACAGCGGCCAGCTGGAGCCTGGCTTGGACCTTATCATCAGAGAACCAATACGGGGCAGCCACCTTCCAGAATCGATTGAACAGCGTGTTTAAGTCGGGGGCCTTCCTCTGCTGCCGCTCGTAGTCATTCTTGGGACAGGAAGCATTTCATTAATCAAAACAAAACCAAAACCAAAAAAAAAAAAAATCAAAAGGGGTAGTAGAGAGAGACCTTGTTAATGGTATTTGATTGGGATGCGCAACACCTGACATTCAACGAATTAAGACGCCTAGATATGAACAAGACTGGCTGGGCATGACGTCGAAGATGGGCATGGGAGTACTTCAAAGGAAAACTAATGCTGCTGCTGCTGCTGCTGTGTGTATGTGAGTACAACACAGCTTGCGCTGCAGCTGCAATCATCCTCTCCTTTTGCTCCTTCCTTTTCCTTTCTCCTCGTACAAATTTCCACCCAACTGTTTTCTCGTTTCCTTCCCTGTCCCTACACTCCCAACTTTGTTACTTATCCACAAGCCACCAAGGCTGTTTCAATACACACTTGCGATTCTGCTTCCGCCACGTTTTTTCCTTTCGTCTTTAGTATTCCATCTTAAAATGATTTGAACATGATTTGGGATATTAATTGCATTGAGAATTTAAAATTTTATCAGATTTTTTTATTCATGTATTTTAAGTAGAGTATTCTACATATTAAAAGTATTCTATGTAACATTATTAGAGTGTCTATTATTCGAATTCGATTATAAATAATAATATTTAGTATTAATTTTTAATTTTATATAGATTATTGTTTATTTATAAATTCCTTAAGATTAATGTAATAGTTACTAAAATTCATTAATTGTTATAAATATAATTTTATATTTTAATTTATTTATGGACTAACTTTCATTTATTAATTTAATTTTCATTAACAATATACATAGAAATTATTTTAAATTTATCTCAATTGGGTATTTAACGAACAGTATCTATGATATTTAGATACAGGTTTAAGTGACAATTCAAAATTTCAATAAGGTATTTATAGAGTCCAGGTACCTTTTTGTGAAACCTCAATCTTTAATTGAAGTTAAAAATGTAACTTTACTTGGTAAGTATGTAAATTTATGTTTCCCAATGGCATTTTTGAATGTTTATAACTTAGAAATGCACATTTTGATAACCAAATGAGTTTACTTGAAAGATGTGGCTTAGAGAAGGTCAAAATGTTTTTATTTTAGACTTAAAACTACATTTTGAATGAAGAGTATCGATACTACATAAAGTATTGATACTTGGAACCCAAAAATGCATCTTGATAAACAAGCATCGATGCTTGTAAACTCAAAACAAAAGTATCGATATCTACTCTAAATGTATTGATATTTATGTTATGGATTTGGAAAAAAAAATTAAACGTAAAGTGAACTTTTTTTTATAACAAATGTGTGAATGTCCATTATGTTATGACCTAAGAAGTGCAGACCAAGTCAAATAGCCAAATACGCAAAGATGCAAGAAATGTAATATGATTTGAACTCTTACATAGAATTAGATTAGAATTTTAATTCAATAGGTTATTGGCCTATAAATAAGTCCTTTACTTCATTCGTAAATATACACTTAAATAAAATCTTTTTACTCCCTTTAAGTACTTTCTTTCTCTTTCAATACTCTCTTATATTTCTCTTATGGTTGTTCTCTTAAGATTTATTTCATAACATGTTATCAACATGATTTTCTAATCTCTCAAGTTTTGGTATTATTTTATTTTTATCATCTTCAAACTTCAAAAGGATTTCAATTGTTAGGTTTTAATTTCAAGTTTTAGCAAATCAAGTAAATGTTGGTATTATTTTGTTTTCATCATCTCCAAGCTTTAAAGGGATTTCAATGGTTAGTCTTTAATTTCTAATTGTAATAAATCAAGTAAGTGACTCAATATCTCTTTAATATTTTCATTCCCATAATATCAACCTTAATATGAATTTGGCTATCATATAGTATATATTATACTTTGTCCCTTGATTAGAAAGTGAATTTTCTATTATATAGCTATCGATGAAAAATCATGAATGTCTATTCCCTGAAGTGAAAGTGACAAACGAACTACTAATAAAAAATTATAAATCTATCCATTCCCCTAAGTGAATGCAACATCATTTAATAATTATGGTCATGGTCATGAATCCATCAATTCTTTGAAATAAATGCAACATTATTTAATAATTATGATCATGGATATGGAAAAGGTCGTCATATTAATTTACACTATCACGATTTTAATTCTAAGGATAATTTTACCACCAGAAATGGATAGATAATTTTACAAAGTAAATGGATAATTTTATCACTAAAAGTGGATGGACAACTTAATTCACTAACCCACCAAAAGTAGATAACTCACTAGAAATAGATGAATACTTGTAACCCACCAAAAGTAGATGAGTACTTTTAACTCACTAGAAGTAGATGGATAATGAAAAGACAAAAATGGAAAGAATAAAAGGAATATAGAAAACATATTGTCATTAATGTGGTATGAGAGACCATTGGTCATGTCCCTATGATACGTCTTGAATTTTATCAAGCATCACTGAAAACTAAAACAGCTTGTGATGATTTTAACCATAGTCAAGTTGATATAGCACGCCAAGATGTTTGTCTGCCCTAAAAGAGGAATTGATTATATGATTGGTAATGAAAATATCAACAATGAATTTTTTTTTAATAATTTGTTGGTATATTCTAATATAACTCTATTATAAAGATACCTTTATATGTTCTCATTATATTTAAATGATATGTTCTAATTATATATTTTAATTATATATTTAATGTTCTTTTATGTTAAGTTGCAAGTTTCTTATTGTATATACCCTTTTTTTAATTGAAAAATAATATGAATATTTATATTCTTGGATCTAAGATCTATGATGTAAATAAATGTCTAGCAGTTATAGCTATAACACACCCTATATTTAAAGACAAGAAATATTTTTCCTACTTGATAATGGAAAAAACTAATGTCAATATAATATCTAATAGTATAAAATTAATTGAAGGTTTTGAAAGAGCTAATATTTTACTATCCTGAGGAATAAAGTTTTATAATAAAGGATGTTTTATTTTCTATTAAGTCTCAAACAAGTTTATTAAGTTTTAAAGATATTCATCTGAACAAAAAATATATTGAGACAATGAATAAAAGAGACATTTATGTTAGTCCCAAAGATATGTGCCAAAGAAAATGTGAATAGCACTTTTTGAATGTCATTAAACTTGACTTCTAATTGGGAGCAAGTTAAAGGTCAATTATGAGAAGTTAAATGCTGGATGAAATAATGATTTAAAAAAGAATAAAATGAAAAATGAAAGAAGGTAGATAATACACAAAGGTTTATAGTGGTTCGATCTCTTTGACCTACATTCACTACTTTGATCTTTCAATCAAGGATTTTCGAACCAAATCACTACAAATGATGGAATTGCCAAGCTTCCACCAAGCTTTTACAATGGCTTTTCACAAGTTTAGCCACAACTAATAACAATAGTTTTTCTTCGGATCAACCAAAACTCAAAACTAACTTTTCAAAGCTGAGTTAGAACCTACAAAACCAATCAACCAAACCCAACCTTGATTAATTCCCTTAGAGTGACTCGCACACTCTAATAACCAAGAAGTACAGATATAAAGAAGTACTTATAATCATTAACCTGACCTGAATGGTATAAGATGAAGTGCTAAACTCTATTCAAAGATTGAAGTGAAAAGTAAGAAGAGTTAAGAGAGTTTTTACTATTTTTGAGCTCTTTTTAATCTTGGAAGCATCTAGTCTTCTTCTTAGCCATTGGAAGTGCCTTTTATACTTGAAAAATCAACTCTAATGTATGTTTGACAGCTTCAGATCGTTGGAAACAATTTAGAGTCAGTTCCAACCATTGGTCTATCTTCTAGCATTCAAATTCAAATTTTTAAGTAGAGTGGTCTTAGTTGACTAACACACTTCTTAGTCGATTAAGTCATTTTTATCTTATAACTGAAGTCTTTGGCAACAAGCTCTTAGTTGACTAACCATGCTCCTTAGTCCACTAAGTCTTCTTTGTCTCACAATTTGCATTCCTTTCTTATTTGGTTAAGTAAGGCTTTAACCGATTAAGAGCTTACTGTCTCTGAATTGGCCAATTTCAATTTTAAATTTTAGTTGACTAACTACCTTGGTTATTTGACTAAAAGGCTTCTGTTTTGTGGCTCATTTGTAGCTCCTTATTCTCATGGGTTTTGATATTTGCTTTTTAGTGATTAATTTATTATTGATATACATTTTCATCATTCACACTCAAGTAGTATAGTTAGACATAAATGAGTAAGAATGTTTTATTATTATAAAAAACTTATGAAGCCAACAATCTCCCCCTTTTTGATAATAACAAAGCATTCCTTGATTAATAGCATAGTGTCTATTTTTTCTTTTTGCACTGCATAATATAAGGAATTTCTCCCCCTAAGTGTGTATTCCCTTATAATGTATACATGATCTTTTCAAGTTACTTCGTTATCCAACATAGCAAGCCAACTAATTTTTTATTTATTCCTTAATGAAAATAACAAGCATTGATTCAGACATTTAACATAATATATTTATAAATTGTCACACAAGTTTGTAGAATTGCCAGTAATAAGTGACAAAATATTATCAATATTGTAACCTACTATCATTAGCATATCACAATCAACAGATCATATCCATTATAAACTCACATCTCATTAACATGTCGACAAAAATAACAAAATAGCATAACAAAAATAAGTTATCAGCATCCAAATTCTAACAATTCGTAATCAACATATCAAAATGTCAAAAATAACTAAACATCATCAGAATTCATAAACAACCTAAACATCATCAGAATTAGACTCCTAAGTTACTATATTGTTACTTCAACTTTCTCCCCCTTTTTGTCATCAACAAAACAAGGATTAACTCTAGGTTCAAAAGGATTCAGGGAGGGTGGGCTCATCAATTCCAAAGTGAACATTGTGGGGATTGGGGGATTACATGGGTGATGATTTTCGTGATGAGGAATTAGAAGAAGATGTGTCTGAAAATTGGAAAGGATATTGAATAGAAGATTTGACAAAAGGTTTAGCTTTGTCAGCAAATTTAGAAGTCATTCTTCTCATGAGGAACTTGGTCTTTGTTGCCATAGTCTTTTTGCCTTTTTTAGTAGGTTTGGGTTTATCTTATGTAGATGCAGCTACTTTCCCTTTTTCTTTATTAGTAGGCTCACTTTTTCTTGCGGTGTGAATTTATTTATGGGAAGTCTCGCAGGTGTTGGTTTCTATGCTCTACTTTTTGTTGCTTCCTTTTCAACTTGCTCTTCCCTTACCATCTGGTTAAAGACATCCATACTTATAACTTCCTTAGAGTTTGTTGAAGATAGTTTATCTTGTTATGCTTCATCATGTTGTCATTAAAAGATCCCATCACTTTAGTATTTTCATTGAACTGTCTTTCAACTTCACGTTC